GAAAATTGTGTCCTCGTAATACAGAGTTTGGTCCAATGAGAGTTTTTACTGCCTCTCAGACTTTAAGGCTGACTGGATGCTGCCGTCAGTTTTGTCTTCAGCAGCTGAATCACATGTTTCGTTGTGTTCGGGTCAGGTGACTGACTTGGCTGTTGTAAAATACAGAGTTTCTTTGCCTTGTGAAACTCTCGGGTGTCCTTTGAAGAATGCTTTGGCTCATTATCCGCTTCACCATGGAAACGGTGCCTCTTAACTGTAGACACTGTCAGTGATACACGTGTCAGCTCAGAAGTGTTCTTGACCTGGCTAGATGTTGTGAAATAGAGAGGTCCTGCAGTCTTTCACTGTCATCCATGGTCTTCCAGGATATACAGTGCTGTTCATTTAGTAGTAGTCCATGTCCAGGTCATGGATTTGGCAACTCCTCGAGGTTTTGCTGTCTGTCTGGAAGGTTAAGTTGAAAATAAGGAACTACGTATAAAAATGTCTGCAGTTCCTGCTGTTAATGTGATTAGAAATACTTTATTTACACTCAAAGTTGGGAAGTTAGTGTATTACAAAGCATAGAAATCAATGCAACAAAATAAATACAGTGTTACAAAAGAAAATCACTAAGAAAGTTAAAATTACACAGACAAAACTGTGTCACTGTCCACATACTTATGTCGTGTGCTTCAGCTGCAAGTGTTTGACACTGAAACTCTTCTGTGGTGCAGGAGGTGAGGTCCAAGACGGTGTCTCTGTGGTCTCTGGTCAACAGCAAGGTGGATATGTATTTAAACCCCTTCTACACCCCAGAATCTGGCAGGGTTCTCTACCCTGTTGCCAGCATGCGCCACCTAGAGCTCTGGGTAGCGTACTACATCCGCTGGAACCCACGCATACGACAGCAGGTAGGACTGCTCTTGTGTTTGCTATAATATGCTGCAAGCTTGCCTGGATAAACATGTGGCCGGCTGCACAGGACTCCAAATACCGTATATCTGTTATCTGGATTCACTTACCAGATAACGGATATCTGGATATCTCAACCTCAGAACTCTGAGATCACAGCACAGAAACAGCTTTAGTTACAAATGATCGTCTTATGGCCTCTGACACTGGACTCATCTCTGTGTTAGACCTCAGCGCAGTCTCCTTCACACACTGAGGTTAATTATGGAGTTCCACAGGGTTCAGTGCTAGGACCA